GCCATGCTCGCGACGGCGCTGCTCGCCTACGCCGGCGCCTTTGCCCCCGCCCGCCACAACCTCGACGCCCTCGACGACACCGTCTTCTTCTGGCCCGACTTCCACCCGGGCCGCCACGACTCGCTCGCCGCCACCCTGCGCGACTGGCGCCAGCAGGCCGGCCTGCTGCTCGACCCCTGGCGCCAGCCGTTCTGGACGCACTACGACCCCCACCTGTGGACCGTCCCGCTCGAGTTCCGCGCCTCGCTCGTCGTCTCGCTGAGCCTGGCCGCCCTCGCGTGCTGCCGCGTCGGCGCCCGCCTCGCGCTGCTCGCGCTGCTCGCGCTCTTCATGGTCCGCTGCGACCGCTGGGAGGTGGCGCTGTTTCTGGCCGGCGCGCTGCTGGCGGAGCTGGACCTGATGCGCAAGGACGCCGCGGCAGCGGCCTTGGCGGGCGGCGACGACGACAACGAGAACGTCCAGCTCGAGTCCGGGCTCTACCCCGCTGCGTCTAGCAGGCCGCGCCGGTACGTGCTCCGCGGTCTCGGCATCGCGCTGCTCGCGCTGGCCGGCATGTACCTCATGTCGTCGCCGCCGGCGCGCGCGGACAAGACGCCCGGGTTCGCGCTGGTCAACGCGTGGCTGGCGCCGAGCTGGACGGACGATCCGAAGCGGTACGTGCACGGGGCGGGGGCGCTGCTGTTCCTGGTGGCCGTGTCGAGCAGCGCGACGCTGCAGCGGCCGTTCCTGACGGCGACGGCGCAGTATCTCGGCACCGTCAGCTACTCGCTGTATATTGTGCACGGGCCGGTGCTGCACGCCGTCGGCTACGTCGTGACGCCGGCCGTCATGGCCGTGACGGGCATCGACACGCACCGCGACTGGGCGACGGGCCTGGTGCTGGCGACGATTTTCAACTTTGCCGTCGCGCTGAGCGTCGCCGATGTGTTTTACCGCTTTGTCGATGTCGGCAGCGTGCGCGTGGCGACGGCGTTTCAGAAAATGTGCACACAGAGTGGGTTTTAGTATAGATGCATAGACGATAGAGGTACATGGATTATGTACAAGTGGCGTTGGTAGTGTTGGATAATGTGTGTAATCACAGCGTTGACTTTTTTACTATTTGGTCGTCCAGTACCTAGCTACTTGTGACATGATTCTCGCCAGTTTGTACTCTTGACGTATTGCGACGTTGCAGCTCTCAGAAAGGTATTATTATTGCAGTACTATTGACATTCTAATCGTCCAGCGCAACGACAGCTTCAAATCCAAATGGTGTACACTAACGTAAACATGAAAGTAAAAGACAACTCTCCCTTTACAGAGCAAAAGCAAGAGCAACCACGGCGACAAGAGCACCGGCGGCGGTACCAGCAGCAGCGTTGGGAGACTTGGACGAGCTGTGGGTAGTCGTGGTGGTGACAGTCGGCGTCGTCTCGTCGGCCGTCTTGGTGGTGGCCGTGGTCAAGTTCGTCGCGTTGGTCCAGGCCGACGACGTGCCACTGACAGCCGACGCGGACGACGAGGACGAATGTGTGGTGGTGGCCGGAGAGTGGGAGTCCGTCACGCTGGCGCTGCTGCTGCTTCCCGAGGACGACGAGGAATCACCGGCCGTGACGGTGACGGTGGCTGGGGCAGTCGAGGTCAGCTTCTTGCAAATGTCCTTTGTCAGGTTCTCCGCCTTTGTGAGGTCGTCGGCGCTGCACTGCTTGACGAGGCAGTCACCGGCGAGGGCCTGAATCTGGGCCTGCTTCTCCTTGCGGCAGAGGCAGTCGACGTCGGCGATGGAGCAGCCCGTGTCGGGGACGGCCTTGTAGATGCAGCCGAGCTGTGCGCGGGTTAGCTGGTCGATCCGACGCTACTAGTCGTTATTGGGGCTACGTACGGCGCAGGCAGGGATCGAGGAAAAGTCCTGGGCGGCGACGAGCGCGATGAGAGAGAGGAGCAGGACAGTGGCCTTCATGGTGACTGCTTGTGGTGAATAGAACACAGGTAGATCGTGGACAGATACGAGACTGGCAATGGACAGAGGATGATGCGAGATAAGAGATGGGGGGGACAGGAGATGCAAAGCATAGTGTATCTTTGTTTATATGAACTGGCCAGGGCGTTGGGGAGGCGGGCGGACGAGCCTGGGTGGTATCGACCGGGTACATGCTGTCGGAGCAGCGTCGCGACGGAAGTGCGGGCGCAGGTAATATCATGGGCTTGATGGGAGACAAGTGTGCTGTGCGCAGCTACCAGGTGAGGCGTGTGGACATGTCCGCGATGCCACGCTTCAAGTGCATTGCGCGTTGAGCAAGGTGAGGCACATGGCGGGCAAGACGGTGTTGGTGGTCCTTGGGTGGCTGTTGGTGGTGAGCGAGTCTTGACGAGGTACCCTTTGTCCACCCTTTGTCCACAGCTTGTCCAAAGCTTTGACCAAGCACCTTTGTGTCTAAGAAAAAAAAGCAGTGTTGCTAACTAATCAAGTACTCTGTACTGCAAACGAGAATAGAATGTTTGCCGTGAGGATTAATTTTCATCTGTGCGTCGAGCTTTCGGTCACACGCAAATTCGTCCCTTTTCACTATTCCTGCAAGTTGCCAAGTTTATCTATTACGTCAACTGAGTTCGTCTCGTCATTACCAGTATGCTGGGTTCTGAACCTTGTCACATTGTCGTCCTCGTCTCCGTGTCCAAACGCGCAGCTTCTAGCCACGGAATAAACGGCGGCATCACCCACAGAGAACAATACATGAAGCGAACATACTATAAAAAGCTATACTAGTATTCCGGCCATCTAGCGCACTTGATCGTCCGACAGAGCTACCCCGCATCTCAACCCCGGCGCCACAGCCACCATCTGGTGCCGAGACTCGTCTGCTGTTTGACGGAGAGGTTTGGCTAAGAGAAACGCAATGTGGGAAATAAACGAGCAGGATAAAAGTACGCCGCTATACCGCCCGCAGCAGCTCTTCTTCAACTTGTGACCCCCAAAATAGGGCCGAGATGATGAAGCCACGCTTGACCGGCTTTAGCAGGTCTTCGCCATGGACTAGCGTTGGCTGCTCTTTTTTTCCTGCCATCATCCTCATCGGATGCGACCATGATCCTTTCCGCGTACTTCCCCCGCTCGTACTCTGCACACAATGCATCGTTTCTGCAGAGCAGGCCTCGCTAGGCAATCTCCAAGCTGATCTGCGTCCGGTTCGCTACCTGCAGCGTCGCATTCCATCCACCAGCTAGCTCATCCGCAGGTCCAAGACATCCAAGACAACGTCACCTTGGCTACGGAGTAACTAGCAACCTTTTCCTCGTGCGGAGTAATTAGAGCAAGACAAACGAAGGAGGGCCCAATTTGCGCCATTCATATATAAAGCCAGCCGCACCCGCACACCTGGGGTCTTGCCACCCCTCGCCATTCTAACTAGTCCATCATGAAGCCGGCTGCATATCTACTCACGGCCATGTTGAGCCCGGCTCTCGCCCTGCCGGCCCTCGAGAAAAGCGCGCCGGGGCCAGACCAAGCCCGCGCCAGCGCTGTCCGCGCCGCCTTTGAGACGGCTTGGTCCGGCTACTACAAGTACGCCTGGCCGCACGACGACCTGCACCCCATCAGCAACACCTACGAGGATGACCGGTACGATCCCCTCTCCTCCCTCCCCAGGTCTTTTGCCCCCAACTAACCACCCTAACCACCTTTAGAGCGCAATGGGGACTCACTCCCATTGACGCCCTCGACACTGCTATTGTCATGAACTACAAGGATATTGTCAACACCATTCTTGAGTTCATCCCCACCGTCGACTTCACCACCACGCGCAAGGAAGAAGAGACCATTTCTCTCTTTGAAACCACCATTCGCTACCTTGGTGGCCTTCTCAGCGGTACGCACTTCACTCCCCCGCTAGTTCCACGCCCACTGACCTCTCCTAGCCTACGACCTGCTCAAGGGCCCGTACAAGCGCCTGGCAAACGACCCCAAACAGGTCGACGCCCTGCTGACCCAGGCTGCGCGATTGGCCGACACGCTGAGCTTCGCATTTGACACGCCGTCCGGCGTCGCTGACGGCTACCTTGTGCTCAACCCCGCGCGCCGCATCAGCGGCCGCTCCAGCAGCAACCTGGCCGAAGTCGGCACCCTCATCCTCGAGTGGACGCGCCTCAGCGACCTCACGGGCAACCCCGTGTATGCCGAGCTGGCCGCGAAATGCGAGGCGCATCTCCTCACCCCCAAGGGTAGCCCCGAGGCCTGGCCCGGCCTCGTCGGCACTGACATTAGCACGGCAGACGGCACCTTTCTCAACAGCCGCGGCGGCTGGTCCGGCGGCGACGACAGTTTCTACGAGTACCTCATCAAAATGTACGTCTACGATCCCAAGAGCTACGGCCTCTATCGCGACCGCTGGATCGCTGCGGCCGACTCCACCATGGAGCACCTGGCGTCGCACCCGACGTCCCGCCAGGACCTCACGTTCCTGAACCAGTTTGACGGGCAAACCACCGAGTCCGTGACCGGACACTGCAAGTACACCTGTAGCCTGCGCCACAACGAGCCGTTGAATACTAACCCCCGTCGCAGTGACTAGCTTTGCTGGTGGAAACTTTATCCTCGCCGGCCTCGTCCTCGGCGAGGAAAAGTACACCAAGTTCGGCCTCGCGCTCGCCGAGTCGTACTTTCAGACCTACAACGCCACGGCCAGCGGCATCGGGCCCGAAGTCTTCCGCTGGGTCGACTCGGCCCACCCCGACACCGACCAGCAGCCGCCCGCCGACCAGGCCGCCTTTTACGCCACGGCCGGCTTCTGGGTCGACGGCGCCGACTACGTGCTGCGCCCCGAGACCGTCGAGTCTCTGTACTACGCGTACCGCGCGACCGGCGACAAAAAGTACCAGGACCTCGCCTGGCGGGGCTTCAACTCCATCGTCAGCAAGTGCCGCGCCGGCAGCGGCTACTCGGGCCTGCGCGACGTGACAAAGCCCGACGGCGGCGGCTTCGACGACTTTCAGCAGTCGTTTTTCCTCGCCGAGACGCTCAAGTACTTGTATCTCATTTTCGTCGATGACACGCCCGTCCAGGTCAAGGCCGGCGAGCCCAACCAGTTTGTCTTCAACACCGAGGCGCACCCGTTCAAGGTCCGCGACTAGTGGCATGTGTAGTTAATCCAGGTGAGATGATGCAATACAGAAACCTAGATGTAGGCTTAGTACACATTGTGACAAAAGCTGTCATATATGTATAATTAATCTATGTGAGGTACATTACAAGGTTGCCTGGCACCGCTGCACGTGGGCAAGTAAGCTCTATCGGTTCATGCGAGTATCCGTAATGTGAGAGAAAATGTAGTCAAGAAAATAAAGACGAGTAAAATCTGGCTCATGCATATAAACAGCACCCGCGCATCTTTTGTACGTTACAAGAAGAGAGCGGCGACTAGCATGCCTGCGACCAGAGCGACCGCCTTGGACACAGACTTGGCTGGGCTGGCCAAGGCAGCAATCGGGGGCTGTGTCTGAGCACCGGCGGGCTTGTGAGTGCTGGAGGGAGCAATGCCAGTCGAGGCGACATGCGCAGCCGAGGTGGCGACGCTGGGAACGCCAGTAGCCGCGACAGCCACGCCGGTAGACGGCAGCTGCTGAATGCTGCTCGCGGCCGTGGCGACCGACGCGGGAGTAGCAATTCTCGTGGCCGGCTCAACCAGGAGAGCGCCCGTGCCGGACGAGGACGGGCCGGGCTCGCTGATGCTGCTCTTGCTGCCGGAAAGGGTGCTGGTGAGGACCTCGGTGGTGACCTTGCCGACGGGGCAGTTGGTGACGGTCGGGGCGCAGCTGGTGATGGTGTAGACTTTGGTGATCTTGGTAGTGACTGTCTCGGGAGCGCTGCCGCTGCCGCTGCTGCTGCTGCTGCCAGAGGGGGTTGCCGTGCTTGTACCGGCGCTGGTGACGGGGCACACGGTGGTGTACAGCGGAATGGTCTCGGTCACGACCTGGCCCTTGGGGCAGTTGGTGACGGTGGGAGCGCAGCTGGTGACTGTGTAGGTTGTCGTCGCGAAGACGGTCGATGTCGTCCACTCCTCCTGCGACGACGAGGCGGTCGGGACAGAAGTGCTCGAGGAAGAAGAGGCCGTGACGGGGCCGGCGCTAGAGCTGCGGGTGGCTGTGCCGGCTGATGAGGTGCTCGAGCCTGATGAGGACGCGGCGCTAGTGCTGGTCGCGGGTTGGGCAGAGGAGGATGAGCTGCTGCCGGTCGGGAGCGAAGTCGGCGTGGCCGAGGAAGAGGAGCCGGGGTCGATGGAGGAGGAAGAGGACGTGGAGCCGGACGTGGTGGACGTGGAAGAGGAAGAGGAAACAGGGACAGAAGACGACGAGGTTGAGACAGCAGTTGATGAGCTAGTGGAGACTTGGGATGAGCTTGTTAGGCTGTCGCTCGAAGAGGTAGTGGCCGAAGTGGAGCTTGACGAGGCAGACGTCAGCGTCGAGGACGAAGTGGTGGCGCTGCTGGTGCTCGTAGGGATATCTGTGGTTGTCGAGGACGAGGAGGAGCTGCTTCCGTCTGTGCTAGAGGTATTGGAGCTTGAAGACGAGGACGAGGAGGACGTGCTGGTGATGCTGGTGCTAGTGGTGCTAGTGGTGCCAATAGTGGAACTGCTCGAAGAAGTGGTCGAAGAGGCGGTCGAAGTGGTGGGAGGGATAGTTGAAGAAGTGGTCGAAGAGGCGGTGGAAGAGGTGGTGGGAGGGATGGTTGAAGAAGTTGTGGAACTGGTGGCAGAAGTCGAAGAAGTCGTTGTCGACGTAGACGTGGTCGAAGAAGTTGAAGAAGTCGTCGTCGACGTAGTCGTAGTAGACGAGGTAGTAGACGACGTGGTAGACGAGGTAGTAGACGACGTGGTAGACGAGGTAGTAGACGAGGCAGTAGACGACGACGTGGTAGACGACGACGTAGGATCAGGCTCATTCCCCTCCTCAAAGTACCGAATATCCTGAACCCTCCAGTATACATCCTTGTACTGCTCCGGGTTGTTCCGCACATACTGGTAGCACTCCTGCTCGCCCGTCACCGGGCCGCACTCCTGATTCCACAGGTACGGGTTTCCCGCCGCGTCGCCGCAAAAGTCAATGTTGAGCACCAGCTTCTGCGGGCCAAACTGCCGCTTGATGTTGCACGGCCCGTCCTGCACCTCGATCACGGGCTTGCCCCATGCCGCCGTGTCGGGGCGCGTCGAGCCGATATTGCTCGGCGCGTCGGCGTGCGACCAGGCAAAGACGCGGATGTAGCTGTCCGTCCACTCCATGGCATCTGGTCACTGGTGAGCTTTGCGAGATTTTTGGCAAGAGGGGATAAAGAGGTCATAGGAAGGGGAAGAGAGCACGTACAGATGCCGCCGTCGGGCGACGCCCACGGGCCCTTGGTGTCGGCCACGTTGCAGCCCGTGTTGGTGTCGTCGTGCGAGCAGTCGGCGCGCAGGAGCGAGCCGGTGCTGCCGGCCGTGTTGATGACGCAGCGGCCGACGGCGTCGACGTCGCCCGTGTGGAACGTCGGGTGGTTCTGCGTAGCCAGGTTCCAGTTCTCGTACATGTCAATCTCGCCGCCGTTGGGCCAGGTGCCGACCTTGCTGTACGTCCAGCTGCCCGAATGTTAGTGTACCGTCATTCCTACAGAGATGGTCTCGAGCGCCTACAATGCCGGCCAGGCGCCGCACGCCCGCTTGGGAAGGTGGTTGAAGCGCGCGATGAAGAGGCCCTTGGTGTAGTCCTTTTTCGACTCGAGCCGCACACTGGGCCGGCCGTCGGGCGACCACCACGTGTTCTTGGCGTCAACGCCAATGTACACGTCGTCGCCCTGGTACTTGGCCAAGCCGCTGGCAAAGGCGACGTCGCGGCTCACGTAGTTGACGAAGCCCTTGCTGGGATCATGGTCGTTGGGGTTGCCGGTGCCAAACTTGCTCTGCATGCCCGTGTTAGCAATCGAAACACACACCCGCCAAAAGAAGAAAATAAAAGAAAAATAAAGCATGCCTCGAAGAAATCAAACTTGTTGAAAAAGTTGGACGCGTCGTACGACTCCTTGAGCGAAAAGACGGTGCCGGACGCGGTGCTGGCGCCGGCCAACAGCACGGCCAGAGAGGTGGCAAAGGGACCCATGCTGGGAAAGAACGTGGACTGTAGATTCAGTGAAAAAAAACGAATGTGGGTGACGTGCGATACGTCGATGGACGAGCGTAAAAACGGCTCTTGAAAAAGGAAAGACGAGCAACAGAGACTTGCGTTGGTTGATGAACAAGGCGTCGCCGAACGGGCTCGCGGCGCCTTCTTGCAGTATTATAAGTATCCGTTCGGGGTATAAGCGCTCTCCTTTCCCATCCCGTACGGGAACGAGTCAGAACGGCCATCTGCTCTAAGCCCGGGGCGCCGCATCACTGCCCTCTGCCATCTGATGTCTCCATTATGCGGCGGGAACGGGACTTGGTGACGTGCCACCCAATCGAGGCGTGCCCGCTAGCATCAGGCTGGAAGATGGCAGGACCTGATTTGCTGCCACGTCCCCTCCATAGACGAAGCCTTTGTTTGGCGTCGAATAGTGCGTCGAGGGCCCCATCCTGAGCGTGGCCAGACAAGTCCCCTTTTGACCAACGATGCCGCGAGGACCACTTGGCGATAGCAGTGTGGAGTTGGCGGCTGAGCGAATGGTCGTCCGTGAGGCTGTCAGCGGAACTTTGATTGCGCTAACTCATCATTCACGCTATTGTCAAGAGGCTATAGTACGCGGTACCCTGGTTCATAGTCATCCAATCCTTCGTGCCCCAGCGCAGCCTTGCGTGACATACCACCGAAGACGGACTCCTGGAGGCATGCAGTCACGTTGAAAGGTGTCTCTACACGGGTGTCAAGATAAGTGTGTTGGTCAAGCTTCCCAACCGCCATGTAGACTTGCCATGTCTCGCATTGCGACTCAGCAAAGAAACCCAAGTGTACAAGTGAGACAGAAGCCGTTTTTTCTTCCCGTCAACCAACTATAGCCCAACGGAGCGTGCGCAATCTCCCCTGCATTAGCCCCCGCAGACTATTTGCAAGCCACGTTTTTTTGCTTCTAGCCTCGACGCCTCTCGCAAAAGTAGACTCGGAAACTGATGAATTAGTAAAATATGAGGCCCTAATGAATCGGCTGGCCGCCTTTGCGTGGTTCGCAATGTCTAGACCAGTGGGATGGGCCGATTGAGCCTCGTTGTGGCTACGCCGGCTCTGATTCGAGAAAGCCTGGAACCTCGTTTCGATTCCGTCGTGAAAGCCAACATTTTCGGGGACTGATACCAACGTGAACTAGTTGGTTGGGTCCACATAGTTACTGTCCTAACTAGTTACTCTGTCTTGTGCATAAAGTTGATCCAGCTGGTATTGGGACCACCAGGGCACACATACGAGGAGAGAGATCTAACTAAATCATTCAGGTCCTAACTATCTATAGTAAATGTGGCAGAAATACTGTGGTTGACAGGGCATCGTACCTCCAGCTTCCAGGCCATCTATCATCAGCTGGACCCAGTTGGCGAGCTTGGCTGCCATAAATCTTTCATTAAGCAGCGAGTGGCGGCTAGATTACTCCAAACACAAACAGTAGGGCTTACATTGAGGTTATAAAACATTTGCTATAATTCAAAATCTACTTCTAAATACAATTCAGAAATAAATCTAAAGCCTTTCATGTATATAGGAACTTTAATATATATAGTTATACTACTTGTACTATAATACTATAAGCTCTACTAAAATACCCTATTGTACTGATAGTTACTCGCTGTTAACTAATAGTCTTAACTTATATCAGTGTCTGAAACGTCTGAACTATCAGATTCTGTCTTCTCTGCGCTCCTATCCCGCAAGCTATGAATACGAAACCACCTGACTAATGCAAGAACATGGCACATAGCCGCCTTTCGATGCCCAGGTACCTCAAGATTAAACCACTTGCTGCTCTCCATCATCACCGCACTATCCTTATTTTGGTCGAGGGCGATGGACAGTTGCATGCGGGGGTCGGGTGCATCGAGATACTCCAAGTAGTCACTGCCGAAGCGGAAGTGTATCAGCCTGAAAAAGGTATTTACGATGACGAGTAGAAACACACTCAAGTCGTTAGTACAGTACTTATTCGGGATTCGGGAGGCGTTAGAGCATACTCGTTATTCCGCTCCTCTTTGGGGGTGCTTTTCCACGCGATGATCGCCTCGCCCAGACATTGAGGTAAGAGATTGGTCGATACAGGTTGAAATTCACCGGTGGCCGGGTCGCGGGCAACATGACCTAAGCCTCTTTTCGCCTCAAGTATCGCCACGCGAGAGAACGTCATCTGCCACCCTTTGTCTTGGAGTTCCATGGCGCAGATGCCGCCGTCGTCTTGTGCTATAAGAAGCTTCGACCCAGCTCCGGTAATATGGGCACTCGCCGACAAACGCTCAATGCGCACGCGCACCTCCATATAACCAGACTGATTGAGACATCGGCACAAAACAAAGGAAAGAAATCGCGTAGCCAGGGCGACCGCCACATCCTCCGTATGCGCATAGTAGCTGTCATACTCGTAGCTTTCATCGGCATCGAGACCGTCATCATCCTGATTCTCGGTCCCAAAACTAGACGAGAGTGGATGACCAGGCGAGCTCGATGCTTGGGTAGGGGAGGAGGAACCAACTCTCATTTCGCCAGAGGGTACAAAGTATTCCAGCTGTCCAGAGACCACCGACGGCCTAGCATTGCGAAGGGGATTCATGCGTCTGCCACTCTGGGGCGCCTCGGGCTCCTGTTGGGCTGCCCTGCGGAGAGCTCCGGCGAGAGCAACCCAAAAGGGTCCGCCTGGGACGGTTTCCAGGTCGCTCTCGAGGCGTCTGGTTAGACGATCTGGGTTACGGCCGCAAAGAACATCGACTTCTTTGCGATCAACGGACTGAGAACGGGTTGGCGTGGGAATTACATACAGGGCAATTCTGACGATGTGTCCTCCAGAGCACAGGCAAGTGTTGCTTCATCGGCAAGGCGATGAGACGGAAAGGAACGAGATGGCCAGTTGTCCAACGGCTGGCCGACGCTGCGCGCCCTTGAAGTTCAAATATAGTGCTTGCATTGCCCGGCTTCATTGCTTCACTATCCAGCTCACCACGAGTTCGAATTGTGTAACCGGATGCCATGGTAATGAGTAGAGTTCATCATCCAACTTTAGTCGTTGTTGTTGTGGCAAGGTATGGCGGGCCGGGTACCTACGTATTTATTGCGCAGACCTGCTTGCTTCCTTACCTAATAGGAGGCACTTTAGGTAAGCGGCGGCTCGTGACTAGTCACAAAGGACGCGTGGCCGTTAACCATTTGATTAGACTGTCCATATCGATTTTTTAACCTTTTTCTATGTTTAATATTATCTACTTATTAACCTTAAATATCAATACTTTATTATGCTCTTTACTTTATTATGCATTGAATGGGGGGATGGGAAAGTTAGTCAGCAGGGCGCGGATTTACAATTTCGCGCAGGGCGCTTTGTTCACGCGTCTCCCTCACGCATCATCCTCCATCAAAACCAACAGCTCACCAGGTTTCTACATTATTACTAGTAGTAAATTTCCTACTCGCGAGCGTATCTATGCGCTCTTCTAACAAACGCCCTGCGCCGGAAGACGTTTCTGCGGGCTGCCCCAAGCAGCGGCGCCGGCTCTGCCAAACGCCCCCTGAACCCGAGTCCATCTACGCCATCCTGAGGCAGCACTCGCGTTTGCGTCTGTTTGTTCATCCATTGCAGTGGACGGGGGTGCATCTCGAACATCTGCGATGTTCTTTTGTCGAAACATGGGAGCGACCGCCCGCGTCGATTCTCCAGCCGCCATCGCATTCGCCGCCATCGACTGCCGCCGTCACGGCCGTCACCAAGGCCAGCTTCAGTCTCACGCACAAGGCCATCTCCTACAGCTACAGGGTTAAGGCTTGGCATGCGGTTCTCACCAGTCTTGGCTTATTTCAGTACGGTGACTCAAATTTTCTCCATGCTCAGCTAACACATTGCGCGCGCAGGATCTGCAGAGACCAGACCATCTCCTTTGATCTAGGGGGTCGGCACGCCTGCAGCCTCGTTACCGAGGGCATTTTTGCCGCCTCAGACGACGCCTCTGCTCCACCTGCACTCGCCGTGCTAAACCTGCATTCGGTCGCTCGTCGCCGGGATGATTCTGTCTACTTGAAGAGACGGCACTTCAGTAAACCGACCGTCCTCCTGCAGCGCCAACGCCAGGCTCTTCTGCGGCCAGACGATCCAATCCGCGACCCGATTCTGGTGGCTGTCTTGATCGCTCTGGCGCAGGGGCTGGCAAGCGCTCGCCAGAGAGACTGGGAACAAAGGTATCCAACAGTAACACAGAGACCACCCCAACAAGGGGATCTCGAGTCCTTGTCCGCAGTTGACGAATTGTGTGCACCCGTGCCTTCCCTCGAGACCTACACGTCATCAGACTTTGAAGTAATGACCCTCCCCTCTCTTCATCTTCCGGACCTAACATCTTCCAGGTATTTGTTATCGCCCTTTGGGAAGGCGGTCTTTACTTATACAGCTCCTCTGTCCCCGCCGCCTTTCTGAGGAGGCTGGACGCGCCATCCGAGAGGATATTCTCCGACCCGCTAGTTGTCCGTCACCACCGTCTAAAACTCAAGTCGCCAAAGAAGGTCGGCGAATTTCTTGCTTCTACTATTGTAGAGGTGATCAGGGGGCAGTTCAGACGGGTTCATAACACCAAAGCTAGTGGGGACAGCAATAGCAAGTCGTAAGGTGTCTTTATATTACTGTCTACTATACTATTATTAACAACGCGCCCGGCTCTGTTTCTGGGTATGGCACTGGCGAGGGACAGGTCGTTGCCGGTATACCGATAGGGGATGCCTAATGCGATTTGTTTGCCGCCACTCGGCTGCTGCACGGGCGACATGCACAAGCGCAAATTGTACGATCGGAACGAATAAAGTCTATATGACGTGCTCCAGCTCGTTATCCGGCGACTGCTACAACATCTACGGATACTGTAGAAATGGGACGCAATACTGCGGCTGGCGTAGAGGCCTTGATGGATGTGTTTAGGGACGCGGATACTACGTGGCACGGCTATTGGATTCCTTACAGCCTGATAATTACATATATTCAAGCAACGACCCGAATATAGTGAAACTAGCTCCTTTGAGTGTTAGACTCGCTCTATCTACACAAAATTCCACTGCTCGCACCACAGCGTCATGAGCTCCGGCGTGACCGGCCCCATCGCCGCCAACGCGCCGCTCGCCCGCCTCGCCTCCTCCGTCGCGAACCCCGCTCCTGCACCCGCTCCCGCCAGTGCTCCATACATGTCGAGCAGCTTCACCGCCGACAGGTTCGACGACGCCGGCGCTTGTTCCACCGCCTCGATCCAGTCCTCCAAACTGACCAGCCGCAGCGCCGCGCCGCGCTGCTCGTAAAAGCGCACCACGGCGGGCGCAATCGTCGACCACGGCGTCGTGGTGGGGTTCACCAGGTTGAAGAAGCGCGCGCCGCTGCTGAAATCCGTCTCCGCAGAGAGGCTGCGCGCCATGTCGAGAATGGTGCGCGCCACCGTGTCGACAGGCACCCAGTCGACGTCATTGCTACTGCCGAGGCTACTGGGCAGCAAGCCGAGCCGAAGCGAGGACTCGATCAGCGTCGGCAGCCACTCGTGCGTGTTCCATGCGCCCTTCTGCATCGTCGGCCCCGCGACCTGGCCCAGGCGCACGACGGCGGCCGGCACGCCGCCGACCCTGGCGGCCGCATCGATGACGATGCTGCCGACCTGCTTGGACTGGCCGTAGCCCATGCCCGCGAGGCTGAGGTCTGTGAGATTGGCCTCGGGCACAGGCGACGCAGCCGATGACCACCGGTCCACGGTGCCGACGGAGGAGACAAAGAGGAGCGCGGTTTGCACGGCAGCACTTTGCGCAAAGTCGATCAGGTGCCGGACGCCGCGGATGTGGCCTTCAAAGGACGCCACGGCAATGTTGAAGTTGACCGGCCACGCGTTATGCAGAATGACATCGACGGAGCTGCGCAGATCTGCGAAATCCGCCTTGGCGAGGGCAAAATCGGGGCGCGAGAGGTCAGCGTGGAAAAAGACGACCTTGTCAAACGAGGTGGACAGGCCGCGCTCCTTCTGCGCCTGCCGCTGCTTGACGCGCCCGCCGTCGTCCGATCGATTCAGGCAGACGATCCTCGCCACACCCGCGTCCTGAATCAGAAAGTGAAGAAGGTACGAACCGAGACTGCCAGTCGACCCCGTCAGAAGCACAGTCTTACCTGTGGTCTTGGCGCGCGGCCGGCTGTCGCTGTCGCTGCGCCTGGCCAGGCCGGCACTGTACTTGTCTACTAGACCTTGCAGAATCTCCGCCTGGCTCGGTGACCTAGTACTACTCGTTCCCTGGATGCGATCAAACAGAAACTCGCTGAGTCTGGTCACGGTGCTGTGCGCGTACACATCGCGCGGCGCCAGCACCGCCCGGTCCTGATCGACACCGGCCTCGCGTAGGCCCGCTGTGACGCGTTTAGCCAGATGAATGACCTGAAGCGAGTCGATGCCATGCAGAAAGAAGTCGTCCTCGTCCTCGAGGACACCGCCCGGCGACGCTGCGCTCAGCAGCGCCCGGATGTCCGCTGCCAGACTCTCACGGGTACCCGTATCGAGCGGCGCCGCCTCAACGACCTCGTGCGCCGCGAACAGTGCCTCAATCTCCTCCTTGTACATCTGGACCACCGCGCCGCGTCGAAGCGAGCCCTTAGCCGAGAACAGAAACAGCTTCTGCGGATCCGCCAAGGCGACCAGATGGCGCGCCACACGGCCATGTTCCACCGTCTTTGCGTTCGCCGCCTCAATCACCGGCCAGATGGCGTCCAGAAACGCCTGCCGCTGCGCCTCGTCCGCGGGCCAGCGCACCGGCTCCAGGATCATGCCCGCCTGCACGTGGCCATGGCCGACTACGAGCGCCTGCCGCACGTCGGGGTGCAGGGTCACGGCCGTCTCGAGGCTCACGGGGTTGAGCTTCTCCCCGTTGCGGAAGACGAGGATGTTGTCGACGCGGCCCTGGGAGCGCCAGTGGCCGGGCAGGGCCGGGTGCTTTTCAAAGAGATCGCCGGTTTTGTACGCGGTCGCGTCGGGAAAGGTGTAGAAGATGGGCTGAGACGGCGTGTGGCGAATAATGGTTTGCTCGTAGAGGTTGTCGCCCACGTGGGCGTACTCGCAGCCGAATTGCGCATTGTCGAAAATAAACCAGTCCCAGTTGTCGTAGTTGGTCTGCCAGTAGACGGGGTACATGCAGTATCTACACGGTTAGCCTGGATAGCAGGCGCTGAAGCGGCGACAACGTACTCAGTGCTTGAAATGCAGTTGTTGAGCTTGACGCCCTGGGACGTGATGCTGTTGCCGACCTGGGGCGAGATACCACCTAGACAAGTGTCAGTCATCACTCAGAATAACGAACCAGAAAGATGTACGTACCTCCGCCGATAGCAACGTATCGTAGCTGCTTGAGCTTGTCAATCCCTCCGTCGAGCTTGGCCATGTCCTCGACAGTAGACGGCGGAAGAATCAGGGCGTCGCATCTGGCTGCCTCGTAGCCCTCGAAAACGCTCTCCGCCGTCAACGGCTTGTCACCGATGGCGAGTGCCAGAGGTTTGCCCCAGAATGTGGCAATGTTGACGAAGCAGTACAAACCAAATGCGTGAAACAGAGGGACTTTTGATGGCCCGAGTCAGTGAACGGAAGCATGAGGATGGTGGGAGTAGTCGACATACGTGGGCAGTACGTCTTGTTCGAGTACGTCGCCATGGCCTCCATGATGAACGGGAAACCCTCGTACTCTAGAAAATCGTGATAACGATCCGCCGATGAGAAGAGACCCTGGTTGCAGTATATTGGCTTCGGAGTACCAGTGCTGCCACTCGTGTGCAGTATGATGACGGGGTCAAACCTAGCCGACTCGAAGGTTTCCTCGTATGGATGAACCGGCGCTGGCGCATCGTCCAGGACCTGCTCCAGGCCGAGCATCTCCAAGGCGCCGATACCAGACTCTTGCACCCACGGCTGGATTCTCTTGGTGTATTCCTTGCCGTAGAGCAGCTTCTGGCAATTTGTCACTCTCAGCAGCGAGACTTGGCTGTCCGTGTTGTTGCGGGTAGAGGGAAACATGATCTAGCCCGCCGTCCGTATTAGCCAAGTCGGCAGCAACCGCCCTCCATGAACTCGTCACGCACCTGGTAGCCTGCTTTCACACCGGCCGCAAAGAGGACCAGATATCGGGCATCGTTGGGCCCGACGTACGCCAGGCTCGGAAAGGACTTGGGGACTGGCTTGCCGAGCCGCTCAACCAGCCAGTTGGCTGTGCGGTTGACCGCGTTGGCGTGCTGCCGCCACGTTATCGCTCGCCAGCCGTCCCGCGCCACCGAGGAGCGTGGCGCGTAGATCCAGGTGCCGTCAGGCTCGGCCCGGGCCGTCTCGTCGACGACGTGTACATAGAGGCGGCGCCCGTAGGGTCCGCCGTAGGGAGTGCGGCTATTGTCAGCCATTTTGCAGAAAGTGTGAAGATGTACCAAGATTAGGCGAATTTGGTGTCTGTTTGATGCAGAAAAAAAAAGACATTTCTCGGGGGACAGCTGCTGCCTTTATACTGAGCCCCACTGTTCAACTGTTTCATTGCTACGTCGGCAGCCCATGGTTGATACGCTGGCCCAGAGACAAAAGGAAGCCATAGGACCGTATCGAGACGAGGCCGATGACGCCGCTGGGAACTAAGATTGCTAGTGCGTGGCGAGCAGGAGGTGCCGAAACGGCGAAAGCCCGTGATGGGGCCAGATCTTTGACTGCGAGAGCCGCGGTTGGATCGGAAGTGGCGGCACGCCCATCGGTCAAGCTGTCTCGGAGTCGCTGATAACATGGTACGCCAAAGTGCCGCAAATACTGGATCATCAATAGCTGGCAAGAAACAGACTGCAAGTTCAACTAGAATAACTCGTCCAGTATGTTATCCATATATTCTACCGGCAGAACCTCTCCCACCGGCCACGGGTCGATTCCGGCATCATAGCCCGGCGCGGCGGTTGAAAACAAAGTGTGGCTGCTCATCTCGGGCATCGCCAACCCGTCCGCAAGCCCTGCCATCTGCCCCTCCCCTGGCAAGCACGCGATGAGCTCCTCCCGCGGCCCTTGCGCAGAGCTATCCCCGAGTAGTCCCGCGGCCCGCTGCCAGCGCTGCAGAGATGAGGCCGAAACGCCGGACCGATCGGCGCCAGCCCCACTAGGGTCCCGCACGGCCTCCTCGTCGCACAGCCGCCGCGCCTCGTCCGGCTGACTGCACAATCTCGCATATTCCGACTCTCGGTAGTGGCGTGTCAGCTCGTAGATGAAGCCAAAAGGCAGCGGCATGACCGGCTGGTCTCGACGGCACTCGAGCTCTCCGAGTTTGGAGTCGCCCATGATCTTGTGGAGCGTGACCCAGCCCTGCTCGCTAACGGGCGTCCACGGCCGACGCAGCATTTCTTTGAACAGGATCGCTGATCCGTGCCAGCGCGAGTAGGCGACAAAGATCCACTTCCACTTGGCCCAGCGATGGTCGAGGTTGGCCGAGTGGTTCTGCTCCATGACGCGAATGGCCGAGGCGCGGTGCGCGGTGGAGCGCGCCTTCATCGACGCTGTCATGATGTGCGCGTCTTGAGGAGCGTAGAAGGAGCACTGGTCCGTCAGCTTCATCTTGGAGATGATGCACGACGCCATCTTCTTGGCCGCCCACGCCAGTTCATGGCTGGGATTCGGGTCTACGAATTTCTGTTCGAGCATGTTGTGCGTCTCCTGCCACATGTCCTCGCAGCGCTGATCCAGACTCTCGAGGGTCTGGCCGGGCTCTTCGGACGCCAGACGGCGGATCCGCACCGACGTTTGCAGCGTGTGCACGCGGATCAAGAAAAACGTCATGTCCGTCATGCCGGTGCGCTCCGTCGGCAGCACAGGCGCGCTCTCGGTCAGGTCCACGTCGTTGATGTTGAGCGGGAGCGGCGTGTTCCACATGTGCTCGGGGAATAGGGGATCGGTGCCGAGATCCTCGGCGGAGCGGTGGTCCAGCACCACGACGCACCAGAATACGCGGCGGCGCATCTCTTGCTGGAACGGCGTGAGGTCGTACATGCCCGCGCCGTCCTTGTGCAGGCGCAGGCACTGCGCCAGGTGCGCAATAACGCCGACTAGGCTCCCGGCGCTGCGTGCCTCGCCCGTCTTGCGCAGCACCAGCACAAAGAGCAAGACGGCTTGCAGGGCGGTGACGTCGACTGTGCTGGCAAACTTGGCGGCGACGAGCGCTTGCTCGACAAGGACTCGCATACGACTGAGCAGGGCGGGTTTGGAGACGGAAAATTCTCGAATGATCTAAGACGCCGAATTAGCTACGCGCATAGCGTATTGGATACATTGAATACTGACGGTTTCCTCGCCCATGGACGCCGTTGCGACATAGTACATGGAAAAGAGAAGGGCGTGCTCGGCAATGGAGAGCGTATGCCGGGACCAGAGCGCCCTCTCTACTAGGTTGGCCATTGTCGGGCAGTGTAGCAGTCCAACCATGGGTTCGACATTCTCCTCGAATACATGCCAGAGCAGGATAATATGCGTTTCTGGTGGATGGTGGAGCGGATGGCGCAGCCCTTGAAAGGACTTGAACAGCAGCATGGAGACATCTGGCTGATTCTGCAGCGGGAAACTAGGCCCTGCCAGCGTACTATACTGGAACTGCAGCTGTATGCCCCTCGCGCGCCGTGATGTGAGCTGTTGTTGCAGCTAAGGACATACATATGAGTGGCCTGTAGACAAGAGTAGCGGCAGAAGACCAACCTCAAAATTGATGCTCGCCCAGAATGACGATTTGATATGTGAAACAGCGCCTGCCGAGTGCACGGCTGCCGTTCGCTTGACCAGCTCGTATCGTGGAGGCGGCGAGCTGTCCTTATTGGCCTCCACCAACTGCGTTTGCAGCGTCGACACCTGCGCCTCCAGACTTCTCAGCCTGCGAGCCAACGCGTCCCCATGGGCCTCGGCCTCGTCCTGCTCCTCTGGTTGCCTGTTTCTTAGATGCGGCTTGCGCTCCCGCGGCTTTCTCTGCGCCGGAAACGTGCAGTGAAGATTGGCCTTGACGCAGTGGCAGCACGGCATGCGCTTGTCGCAGCGGATTTTCTTGATGCGACACGTCGAGCAGCTGAGCGGTTTGCGGGCATAGCTCCGAGGCGGTGCCTCCACGTCGGCCATTGGTTCCATGCTGGGTAGTCACTTTGAGAAACTCGCGGTATTCGCGACGAGTAAGTTGTCTCGGCTGTGGTCGGTTGAGAGGGTCAGGAATGCGATGGGTGGCAGGTTGCTCGTCGTGGAGCTGTGGCTTGCTGGCGGAAAATGGCCAAGGCGGTAGCCGATCCCGCGGACAGATGCGGGGATATCGTTCCGCGCCCGGATTTTGCGGCATCGCCCGGAGCTGGCCGGAATAAATGGCTCCTTCACTTCTGCACTTTTGCGTTTTTTTCAATCGACAGTTGGTGATGCATTCATTTTAGTATCGCAGATGTGCCAAGTCATGCACGGCACAGCTAGACCACAGCGGTTGTGCACGGAAGAGACCCTAGAAAGACTGGAAAACGAGAATCAAACTGTGACTCTCGCAACGAACTCGCCACCAGAATTAGGCGTCTACGTTATATGCACGATCCATCCTAGTACCCTCGAGAAGATTGATTCAAGTTGCAGCTGAGGCTGAGGGCAATGAGTCCCTAACAGCGTTTGCTGCCGAAACCCATAGCAGTCTGTTAAGTCCCCACAGCTCACGGAACAGAAAACGAACGGCCAGCGTGCAGCGTGCGCCGCCTTCACTTTCCATCATGCACACTTTGACTCACTCCGCACCTCAAGCTAGCCCACGACCTCGACTTTGGCAATGGCAACTTGCGGCCGAGTCCCGAGCCTTTGAATTCATTTCACGCTGTGGCGCGAACATCAAAGGCGATGCCGCGACGCGAAAGCGCGTCAGGCTTACCAGCAAAGAATCCACCACTGAGACCTGCACTGACAGCTTTGGCGTTGGAAAATGCCTGCAGGCGGTATCACGGAACGCAAAAGAATTGAATACCAGGCAAATATGCGTAACTGGAACCAAAAGATGACGTGCCTCCTCCGACTGTACTGTCTCGCGGGCGTCGACACCGTTTGATCGTAACAGCGCCGAGGTTTCCCAGTTCATGAACGCGCCAGAGCGCAAACGCGCTCAAGTCCCATGGCAGCACTTCAAGTCATCTTCTTTTCTTTTTCCTCTACTCTACCCTGACTAATCCCAGTGCACCGAGGAACATGCGTCGTCTTCAAATGAACGGTCGAGATTGGCTTTCGCCATGTCCTGCGAGGCGAGGCCGTGCTTGCATAGCTGCTGTTACCCCTACGTATCAACAGGTATGATACGAAATGCGACAAGATTCCAAAGGTTTACAGAGAGAGCACGCCTTACAATGTGCCTCGACACAGGAAGATTGTCCCACCGTTTCTCGCACACTACGGTGTGAGCTAGTCCTCGGCCCTTTGCCTCCGTCTCCCAACACGACAAGCCCTCCACACAATCATTGATGTCCCATCTTCGCGAGAGACAGAACCATTTCCACAACCCCAAACCCGGCACAGCCTACTCTTCGTACCTTTGCACCAAGCTACGGCGGCCACGGCACCCAAGGCGGGACGCTAGGCCAAGAGATGGTGGCGCAGATCCTCCACAACGCTCCAGCCCAGCTTATTCCAGGCTTGACCGGCGCATGAACTAATAAATTTTAGGAAGGCAACAGTTGGCCATGTGCGCTTCGGGATATGAGACACGCGACGTTATTCGCGAGAATTTGAGAGATTTTTCCCGCACTTTGGACTGTGGCCTCGGGGCTGGGCTATACCGATCGATATCCGCTCATATGTGGTTAGTTGTCCCCTGTGCAATGCCGTCACCAGTTGGACGACGCTCCAGCACCACGTTGTCCAGCTCGGTCTGTACCTGAGGTTAGGCTTTTTTTTTCTTCGGTGTGCTATTTAAGAGCAACATATGCACGAAAACACGTGCGGTCGCAGCATCTTTCACCTTCCAACTCAGCTTTAGTCGACTCCGCTCTGAAAATGGTCATGGCCACCGGCGATGTTACGCTGGGTAATGAGCCGTCTCTGATTGGCGCACCGGCATCTTGCCTGAAGAAATAGCTTATCGGGCGGATGGCACTAATGCAAGATATTGTCGTGAGAATGACGGCACGTTGCCCTTGCTGCTGGTTTTGTGGGCGCAGTATCCAACTTGACTAGCCAATGGCTCACCACATCATCCCCAGACTACCACTAGGAAACTGGATGCGAGATTTTTTCTCAATTATAAAGCATATATACCGAGCCAGCCGCTGCACTTGTCGGTTGTGTCTAGACTAAAGACATTCCAAGTCGGTTGTTAACACCTGCACATCATGTTGTTCGGAAAGATCTTGGCCTTTGCTGGTCTCAGTGCTGCTGCCACTGTCAAGACGAGCAATGTCAAGGGCAAGGCATTTGACCGTTTTGTGGTGATTTACTTTGAGAACGAAAACTATGAAAAGGCGTTTGGTGATGGTGAGTAACAGCTCGCGCTCCAAGATGCAATTGATGCTGACAATAGCAGCCAACTTCAAGTGGCTCTCCAAAAAGGGCATCACGCTGACCAACTATTTCGCCGCGACGCACCCGTCGCAGCCCAACTACATGGCCAGCATCGCCGGTGACTATTTCGGTCTCAATGACGATCGGTTGATTGACTCGCCATCGAATGTGGCGACGGTCATTGATCTCCTCGAATCCAAGGACATCTCGTGGGCGCATTACCAGGAAGACATGCCCTACACAGGCTTCGAGGGCGCCTCGTACAAGAACAGCCGCGGGGCCAACGACTACGTTCGCAAGCACAACCCGGCCATTATGCACAAGAGCGTGACCGACTCGGGCGACCGACTAGGCCGGGTCAAGAACATGTCGAATATTGACACGTCACGCTCCGAGTTCCACAAGGACCTCAAGAACAATGCGCTACCGCAGTGGATGTTCATCACGCCCAACATGACATCGGACGGGCACGACTCGAGCGTGACGACGGCCGGCCAGTGGGCGCGCTTCTTTCTCGAGCCGCTGCTGACAAACAGCAACTTTATGCAAAACACGCTGGTGCTGGTGACTTGGGACGAGTCGGAGACGTACTCGCGTAGAAACAACGTCTTTGGCATGCTGGTGGGCGACGCTGTGCCGGCGTCGCTGGTGGGCACGACGGACGCCAGCTTCTACAACCACTACTCTGAGATCGCGACCGTCTCTGCCAACTGGGACCTGCCCACACTCGGGCGCTGGGACGTGGGCGCCAACGTGTACAAGATGGTGGCGGACAAGACGGGCGACAAGGTACGGGCGTGGGACAGCGACAAGGAGTTTCAGAGCTACTACTGGAACAGCTACTATGGCGGCTACCTCAACTCCAAGTCGCAGAACAAGCCCATCCCTAAGCCGAACCTGAACCTGGACCGTAACACGTTCAACGGGCGTGGCATCCTGCAGTCGGTCAAGGATACATGGGCGAACAGCAACGCACCGACGTACTACACTGACTCACTCAAGGTCTCTGACTCGCAGCACCCTCCCCAGGGATACGAGCCGTAGCGCGGAGCGATCTACGCAGATGCAGAGTGGCAAGAGTGACGAGTTCCATTCGCCAGACGAAACTGGTTGGATGAAAATGTCCGATGCAGGGTTCTTTTTTATGGTGTAATTCGCCGAGGCTGCATATGCATGTCACTCATTCGTTAGTATAAAAGACATGTGTGCTCGTGTTATTGGGTGAGAGTCGGCCGAAAGGGAAACGGTGCGGAGACGTCTGGCTACGATCATCTGCGGGGGCCATCGGCGTACTTTTTTTCTCCGATGAACTGCAGCAAGGTTATGAGGGACCGTCCGCTTCTTGACCCTTCGCTCTTTCCTTCGAAGAAAACCCCCCTTCTTGTTCCCAGTTCATCTCGTTCTCTCAATTGAATTTTTTTTTCTTTTTTTCCGCTTTGTCTCATATCTCATTCTCATCTGTACCAGTCCGCTTACCTTGTACATGATGAGCGATCCGTCTCCAGGCCTTGTCCCGATTATTGATCTTGCCGCTTCGGCTCCGACGGAAGAGCAGGCAAACGACCTATGCAAGGCATTTCGCGAGGTAGGCTTTGCCTATATCAAAAACCACGGTATTCCAGAAGAGACAATCCAAGAAGCATTTTCCTGGGTATATATAGCTCCCTCTCCTGCTCAATAAGACACTTTTACCAACTCGTCGCAGAGCCGCCAATTCTTCGACCTGCCGCAGAGTGAAAAGGACAAGGCGCCGCATCCGCCGGAAGGATGGCACCACCGCGGCTACTCGAGCATCGGCCGCGAAAAGGTCTCCCAGCACGTCTTTGACGCCGCCTCCATCGCGCAGCACCGCAAGATCCCCGACCAAAAGGAGTCGTTTGACCTCGGCCGCGAGGATGACGCGGCGCCCCTGCCCAACATCTGGCCGCCGGCCGCGACGCTGCCCGGCTTCCGCGCCTTCTTCGTCGACTTTTACCGGCTCTGCGACGGCCTTGCGGCGCGGCTCCTCGTCGCCGTATCCCGGGGGCTGGGCCTACCGGACGACTACCTGCTGGCGCGCCACCGCGGCCACGACCACCAGCTGCGGCTGCTGCACTACCCGCCCGTGGCGGCGTCGCTGCTGGCGCGTGGCCTGGCCGAGTGCGTCGGCCCGCACAGCGACTTTGGCACCATGACGCTGCTGTTCCAGGACGCCGTCGGCGGGCTGGAGATGGAAGACGGCGTCGGTGGCTTCCGACCGGTGCCGTACGTGGCCGGCACGGTTGTGGTGAATATCGGCGACATGCTGATGCGCTGGACGAATGATGAGCTGCGGTCGACGATTCATCGGGTCAGGACGCCCGCTGATGATGAGGTCGAGGGGCGGACGGGGGAGCGCATGACCAAGAGGCGGTTCTCGATGCCGTTTTTCATTGGTGCGGATCTGGACACGGTGGTGGACTGCGTGCCGACGTGTCACGGGCCGGAGAGGCCCAAGAGGTATGAACCGGTGACGGCGGAGGAGTACTTTACCAAACGGATGAATGCGCTGTACTGATGGGGAGTTTTAATTGTAATCCATCCTTTTTGAGTTGTCACTTTTCAACGTTCAGTACAAATTATGCAATGAATAACTAAGTGAGACATGTCAATAGAACTAACAGTAAAAAGCAAACATCAAGTCCATGACGAATCTCCCCTTCCCATCACACCACCGCCCTAGCTCTGTCCGCTCTGTTCCTCGGCCACAGCATCCGCCATGTCGCCCAGCGTGTCAAACCTCCAATCATACACCTGCCGATCCCTATTTCCCATGACGGCGCCGGGCCTCGTGATCCAGCAGGTGCGGAGGCCCGCCTCGCTCGCCGGATGGTGGTCGTGGAACTGGCTCTGCGCCGTGTGCAGGATGCCCTCGGGAGGCACGCCCAGCACGCGGCGCACCTCCGCAACCGCGTGCGCAAAGTTGCGCGCCGCCGGCTTGAAGCTGCCGACGTCCTCGGCCGTCACCACCAGGTCAAACGGCACGCCCTGCAGCGGCCCGGCCTGCGTGTCGGCAAACGCCGCGCGGTCCGTGTTGGACAGCACCGCGAGCCGGAACCCCGCGGCGCGCAGCCGTCGCAGCGCCCCCACGCTGTCCGGGAACGCGGGCCAGCGGCCGATGGAGGCGCCAAAGGCGGCGCTGGCCGCTGCAGACG